GGGGCGTACCAGCACTGAAGCGCAGCCCGACATTGTTGTTTCCGCGGATGACGGTGGAGGTTGAGGTGAATCGCACCGACCGGGTGATGGCAGGCAGGTCGGAATCCAGGTGGATCAGGACGTTCGAGCGCCCATCTCCGATCATGATCGTGTGCGCGCCCGTGAGCTTGTTGGCCGAGGCGATGGCCCGCGCAAGGGACGCCGAGTCGGTGGCCTGCGCGCCCAGACATGTCGCGCTTAGTCCTCAATCCCCCCCCCAACCAACACATCATCTGTCCAGCTAGAACACGCTCAAGTAGATGAAGGAGGTGAAGAACCTGGAAGTCCATGGCGGAGGCCAGGCAAAGGAAGCCCAGGAGGGCAACCAAGATACAGGGGAAACGAATCATCATCCCTGTTCTTGCTCTCTTTTTTTCTACAACAGGCTTCTTACCCCTGGTAGCTTTCTCTTCTCCTTCTCTCTCTCTCTCTGATTGTCCCTTGATTCTGAAGAAGAGGATGAGGATGATTCGCGGATTCTCTCCTTCTTCTTCCTCTCTCTTCTTCTCAGGGAGCGTGAGAGGACAACGGCGGCCAGGTCGAGACCAGACTCGGGTTGGTCCTGCCTCTTCTTCCCTCCCCCCCCAACTTTGAGTACAGGGGAACCCACAAATGGAATAGCACCCCCGCCAAATGCAGCGTGCCACGCCCTGCCCGGTCGATAGCAGCGAAAATGGGAAGATCACACGCGCGCGGCCAGTGTTGGTTGACCCGCAACAACGTCCCGGTACGCCTGACCTAAAAAGAAACCAAAACTCTTCTTGTTGGTTTCGGCGCTCAAAACCAACGTTGGTTCGCGCTCAGTCTTCTTGTCGTGTGGCGCTGGCGGTTTGGAGCAGGGCCGCGCACTCGGGGCTCTCGGTCAGGTCAACCGCGCGCTCGTCGTGCCGGTTTGTGATAGCCGGATCGGCGCCCGAGGCGAGAAGCAGCCGCAGGAGCGAGATCCGCGCCTCGCGCGCCGCGACGTGCACCGGGGCGTTCTTGTGGTAGTCCTCCTGGCTGTTCACCTGGGCGCCTGTTGTTGTTTTGTTGGGTTAGAATACGCTTCAATTACACATCTTGACGTTGTGTGTGTGTGTTGTGGTTGTGTGTTGTGTGTGTTGTGTTGTGTGTACCGTGGGTCAACAGGTGGCGCACGATGGGTTCGTGGTCATGTTCGACCGCCAGATGCAACGGAGTTCCGCCGGTGCTGTAGGCATCAACGAACTCCGAAGCCACGGCCTGGTTGACGTCGAACCCGAGCTCGAGACACAACACCACCCCTTTGGCGAGTTCCTATCGTTCACCGTGAGAACGACACACGACACGACACGACACGACACAAACGTACCTTCGAGTGAGCCGCTGACGACAGCCTTGTGCAGGAGCGAGTGACCAGAGTCCTGGTCGCGCGCGTCGACGATGGTCTGCTTGACGCGCGCGTCCATCCAGCCCATGCCGCGCCGCTCGACGAGCGTGAGCAGGGTGGTGAGGTCCAGCTCGGCCAGGAGCAGATCGACCACCGATGGCCCTCCTGGTCGCGCACGCTCTCGATGTCGACCCCCGGCTGCAGCGCGACCAGGTACTGCACGGCGGCGGCGTTCTGGTGTCGCAGGGCGACGTGCAAACAGGTCGAGCCCTGGCCGTTCTGTTGGTTCCATGGCAGCGATTGCACCCCGCGGGCCGCCAGAAGCTCGACCACTCGCGGCAGGCACTCGACCGCGTACTCCTCGGAGCGGGCCAGCTTGTGCAGGAGCGAGTCGCCCTGCGAGTCGGCGGTGAGCTCCAGGCCGGCGTCGATCGTGTCGGCAACATTGCTGACGCCACACAGGAGCAGCTTGAGGGCCGGGAGGGAGTGGGCGAGCAGGGCGCGGTGGAGCACGGAGCGGCCGGCGGCGTCGCGGGCGGTGACGTCGGCCCCGTGGTCCACGAGGCATTTCAGGAATTCGTACGATGCCGACTGCTGCACGTTCGTGTGCAGCGGCGTTTCTCCGTCGTCGTTGGTCGCGTTCACATCCGCGCCGTGCTCTGCGAACGATGCGCGGTGCATGATGAGGACTTGCGCGCGTGCGTGCGTGTGCGGTGGTGCGTGGTCGGAATACCGATGAGGGCTTGCGCATGTGCGGCCTTGGAAGTGGTGTTACCGGGCGAACGAGTGCCGGCGACGTGGAGCGCAGTATTGCCCAGCTCGTCCCTCAGCGCCACACTACCCTACGGACCGCACACGACACGACACGACACGACATCGCACAACACGACGCGTCGAGCAACGACCAATGACACACGACGCGCCGGTCAGCTCCAAGGCCGGTTCTGATGGGGGCGAGGTACACGCACGGGTGGGGCGTCCTGCAGGATGGCCTGCAGGGCGGGCAGCTGCTGGTCCTCCCTGGCCGCACACAGCAGCGCGCGGGCTATCTCGGCCCTTCTCTGTAGATCGGACTCGAGCCCATTCACGGCTCGGACCAGCAGCCGGACCGCGTCGACGTTGCCCCGGTTGATCGCCCGGCACAGCGCACTCTGCCCCTAGAGCAGACCACACATGTGAGAAGCTTGTCCTGCATGCGTGTCGTGCGTGTCGTGCGTGTCGTGTCGCCGCACGTTGTTGTTGGCCAGCACTAGACTGATGCTGGGACACGCCAACAGCATTTCGACGCATTGCGTCGATGCTCCGGGTTCGGCCGCCGCCTGATCGCACATGTATGTGGTCATCATCATCATCGTCATCATCATCATTATCACCATCACCATCATCATCATGGATTCGAGGGGGTACCTTGTGCAGAGCCGTGTCGCCCAGCCGATTCTGGGCGTTGACGTCGGCCCCTCGTTCGATTAGCTCCTTGACCGCGCTGGCGCACGACCTGTGTCCCCCAGTCAGACAGTTATGTCGGTCGAGCCACTCGCATGCGGGCAAGTGGCGCGGCGCGAGTCAGAGTGGTGGCGCACCGCAGGGCGGCCAGCATGAGTGGCGTGTTGCCGTAGGCCGCCTCGCGGACGTTCGGATCCGCACCGGCCGCCAGCAGCATCTCTGCCAATCTCCCAGCGCACACGACACGCACGACACAACACGACACGCATGACACGACACACGCAGGTGAGAGACGACACATGGTAGGTCAGGAGAGAAGGAGGTGTACGCATGTAGTCGGCCCGGCCGTACTTGGCAGCGGCGAGGAGGGCCTCGCCCTTGGCCGCCTGGTCGAGCGTGGGCGCGGCGGCGAGCAGGGCGGCCAGCACGGCCGTGTTGTCGGCAACGGCCGCCGTGATGGCGCCCACGAGGGCCGTCTCGCGACCGCCCGCAGTGGTCACGGGCTGGTCCGGACCGGCCCCCGCTGCCATGAGCTCCTTCACTCGCGCCACCTCTCCCTCCTGGCACACAACATTAAACAGTGGAATCACAATTTGAACAGATTACAAAATAAATGATTTGGTTAAAAAAGAATGAGATGGTGTGCACCTTTGCTGCAGCGTAGAGCTGCGCAGCGAGTGAAGAGTCCTTGCTGTCGTCCATTGTGCAACGCGAAAGTTGGGGCAAAAGAAACCACCCACAAAATGCAGTTTTAAACTGTAATTGCCACGTCAGCACTGGCCAACGCGCACGCTGAAGATCTGGAACAGCGGCAACCAAGAGCACCACGCACATGAAGAGGATGAACATGTTGCTGTCTGTGGTCCGGCCCCTTTGTTGTTGGAAGTTAAACACATCAAGACCATGCGCGTCGCGTTTGATGTCTGTACACACCACAACGCGCCTGGCTCGTGGTCGAGAAGGCCGGCACAAGAGTTTAGTCTTCGCGCCAACATCGACCATTGGACGATTCGGGTGCTTGATCAGTCCACAGGCCGCTTCTTGGCAGGCGGCAGGTGGAACAGCTCGTCGACGTACTTGTCCAGCTGGTCCGCGCACTTGTAGTACACCGTCTCCGGCGCGTTGTAAGTCCTGCGCAATAATAAGAAACGGAAATGTGAGACAATCATTGTTGATGGTTATATATTATATTTCTTATTATTATTTTCCGAAATACAATAAAAAAATTGCGGACGTACCGGCAGTTGGCGAACATGCGCCGAAGGTCGGCGATGAAGATGTCCTGGGTGATGTAGTACTGTCCCGCGGCCAGCCGCTTCTCCATCGTCTCCAGGTCTGTCGTTTGCGGTGTGAGTGCGTGTCGTGTCTGTGTGTCGTGTGTCGTTTGTTGTGTGTTGCGGTGGCGGTACCGATGGGGTCCTTGATGATTTCGTGGTAGTGCGGGGCCTCCTTACGGGAGACGGGCTTGAGGAAGGGCCACGCGGAGGCATGGGCCTGGATGGACTTGAGCTGCTGCTTGAGTACCTCGTGCAGGTACTCGATGTTCTCCTCCTCCTGCTGCGGGGTCGCGGTCGCCCGCCACGTCGACTCCTCTGCTCCCACAACACCCACCGACCGGCGCCTCGCTGGTTAAACACGGAAGGGAAGGAAACGAAGAAAAAAAGGGAAAAAAAGAGAAAAAGAGTTGGTGGCGAAGACGAGCGTACTCATGCCGGGGATGTCCTGGATCTTGATCCGCTTGAGCTTCCTCTGGAAGTTGAGCCCCGGTCGCACCACCTCGTACAGGCTGCTGATGCTCTTGATCGCACTCTGCACCACCTGGAAAGAGCGCAATGTGTGCGTGTCGTGCGCGTGTGTGTCGTGTGGTGTGTCGCAAGTGCGTTAGTCGTGTGCGGAAAAGTCAGCAGCTGGATGGGTGGTGCGGCTTCGCCAAACAAAGGGTGTAGCGTACCTCGCGTTGCCTCTTGATGATGACGGGGAGGTCGAGGTAGCGGATGAGGGGCGAGATGACGCACTCCATGGGCGTGCCGGCGTCGTAGTCCTTGATCACCCCCACCCATCGCTTCTTGTCCAGCGTGATCTCCTCCGTGAAGCCCTGTTAACCCCACACACCACCACCACGCCACCATCAACGTTGTCGTCACTGCTGTACAGCGCAAGAAGAAGAAAGAAGAAGAGTGTTCGTACGAGCTTCTTGAAGAAGCCGATGGCGTAGTTGTCGGCGTAGGTGAGGAAGTAGTACAGCTGCTGCGTCTTCGCAAACTCCTTCAGGTGGTTCAGCACATGCCTGCCAATGCCCTGCCAATGTGCGCGCGCCGCGTGAGCTAGACAACGAAAATGAAATAGAAATAGAAAAAGAAAAGCGTGTGGTGGTGGGTGCGCACTCGAATTTGGAAGTCGACGGAGACGGCGAGGAAGGCGATCTCGAGGAACCCGTTCTCGGGGAAGGGGCGGAAGCAGATCCCGCCGATCACCTTCCCGTCGCGCAGACACACCAGCGAACGGTGGTTCCTATGAAGGAGGAGGAGGAAGAAGAAGGATGTAAATTCCTTGCATAGCATATGCCAGCAGGAAGGTTTGGGGGGGGGGTGCAGTAGGTAGTACTTGTCAAAGACGAGGCGGGAGATGTATTCGCGGGGCATCTTGGGGAGCTGGCGCGAGAAGATGTTCTTGAGGTCGACCAGGTAGAACATGTGCTGCCGGATGTTGTCGTTGGCCACCACCCGGAACTCGAACGTCGCCGTCTGCGGCTTCGGCTCCTCCTTCCTGTCCTCCTCCTCCTTGATCGCTGTCGTTGCTGCTGACGTGGCACACACGGCACACACGAGAGATTGGGGAGGGTGAGAGCCCGTACCCAAGGCAAATGAATTTGGAATTCGTTTGAGATTCTGTTATTCCTGTTTTCGTTTCGTTTCGTTTCGGGGAGGGGAGGGGGGATTGTACCGGTCTTGGCCTTGCCCTTGCCACCGCGGCCGCGCCCTTCGCCGTCCTTCTCGTCCTCCTTCTTCTCCGGCCCGAGCGAGATGCGCGATCGGCCCCAGTACAACAGCCCCGGCTCTTTCTGTGGTTGGTGGTTGATGTCGTGTCACGGTGTCACCGATTAGCCACCAAGAAAGTTGTGTGTGTGTGTGTGTGTGTGTGGTGTGTGTGTGTGTGGTGTGTGTGGTGTGTGGTGAGCGTGGTGTGTGTGTGTGTGTGTGTGTCGTGTGTGTGTGTAGCGTGCTGCGTGTGTTCTATTCGTACTTCGTTGGGCACATTCGAGATGATCCACGCGCCTGGCGTTGTGTCGCCGTCATCCGGGGGCACTGCAATGCGGTGTGCGGACAAATTTTTTTGGTGAGTACTCGACAGAGGGGGACATTCGTACGGATGGTGGGCAAGCTACGACTACCGACAGGTTCGATCTTAATCTTCTTCTTGAGGCCGACAGAGGGCTCTTCCTTGTGCTTCCGCTTCTTTTTCACCTGACCACTTGCCTCTGCTACACGACACGACACGACACACAACAAGCGTGAGTTTGTCCAGTCATCAGTCACCAAGAGCTCCGTGGTGGGTGGTGGTGGTTACCACTGGGCTGTGATGGGGACTGAAGCTGCGATCCCGCAAATCCGACGGGCGACTGCGGCATCATACCCGTGGGCGACTGCTGTCCCATCTGTGCCGCGGCGCGCGGCCACTTTCAGTACAGTACCGACTCCACACTCTCGGCACGCACTCGGTACACAACGCTGCGGAGCCGCTAGGGAGGCGTACCATGGGGTGCTGCTGCATGCCGCCGGGCATCTGGCCCATCAGCCCCTGCTGTTGCTGCTGGCGGTACCGGTTACGGTACTGCTCGAATCGCTGCAGGAGGCCCTCGTCGAGAATGCTCGACACGTCCTTGTGCAGCTCCTGATTCGGGGCGAGAAGAGGGCGAAACCGTTTGAATCGACCATGACGACGGTGAATAACGACGAAGAACGAAGAAGACCGCAAAGAAAGACGAGGGGCTAACCTTCTCCAGGTTGCGCACGAAAGAAGGCAGAAGAGATTGAATCTCCTTGTGGCCCATGCTGCTCTGTACAAACGAGTTTTTGACTTGCTGCAGACGCGCAAGATAATATTATAAAAAAAAACCATTACGTGGCTGTCGTGTGCGTGTAAGAAGGCGGGAGAGCGAACCGCGAACACAGCGCGCAGCATGTGGAACCCAAAGACCTCCGACGTCTTGTACTTGCCGATCTTGGTCGGATCGCAGTAGGCCAGCCACCTGTCAACACCAAAGGTTGAATCAGCACGAAACTCTCTCTCTCTCTCTGGCACGCACGCACGCACGCACGAAGATGGTAGAGGGTTGGTTATCAAGACCTTTGGTAGGCGAGCATGGGGTCGTATTGCGGGTCGTGCGGAGGATCGTCGTCTTGAGGCGGTCGCAGCTGGTGGTTGTCGATGGCGTTGATGAGCAGCAGGGATATGCGCTCGATGTTCTGCTTCTGCACCTCGCTGATCTTCGGGATCAGCTTGTACGCGTTCACGTAGTTGCGCATAATCTGCCGACACACGACACACGACACAACGAACAACACGACACACAGCGGTCAGTTGCTTGTATGCGTGCTTGAATCAACCATTGATAAATGACTACGCACCTGTGAAATGACGGGCTTCTCAAAGGGCGGTCCACCAGAGTCCTGGCCAGGGAAGTAGCCCCCAGGCGGCGATGTAGGCGTTTGGTTGTAATGCTGCCGACGACGACAAGTCAGTCAGTCGGTCGGTCAGTTACCCCCATGGGCAGATGGCAAGAGAGACCCAAAGAGGAGGGGAGAGAGAGAGAGAGAGAGGGCGTAGTACCGCAGCTGTGGGGTTCGGACCCATACCCTGCATGCCGCTGCCGTCTTGGGGCATCCCCATGGCGCCGGGAGGCATGCCGCCGCCCATGTGGGGCGGGCGACCGCCCATGCCGCCCATCTGCATTCCTCCGCCCATTCCTCCGCCCATCTGCATTCCTCCGCCCATGCCGCCGCCCATCGGCATTCCACCGCTCATCACTGAGAATGGTTGGGGATGCGCAGCCAGCACACGCCGTCATCGATCAGTAGGCGGTGCGAGCTTGAAACGAGGGAGAGAAGATCTGTATGTCGGCAAAGATGGTATGTACCGGGCGGCATTCCTCCCTGCTGGGCCATCTGCATGCCCATCGCGTTTGGGTTGAGCGCTGGCTGCCCCTGGGGCTGCGGGGGCGGTGGCACTCGGTTGAGTTGCCTGCCGAGTGTTTGGGCGCACGCACGACACGCACACGCACGACGCGACACGGCACACACAGGGAGAAAAGCGAAGAAGAAGAAGAAGAAGAATCGAGAATGTGTCAGCCAACTGTGTTGGATTGTACGAGGCCGATGGGACGACGCACTCTGTAAGGAGCCCGATCTCGCGGGAGAGGTCACGATCGCGGACCTGCATCATGTTGTTGATCTTGAGCGCGAGGATAACGCGCCGCTTGAGCTCGGGCATGACGAGCGAGAGCAGGTTGCCGTGATCCGTGATCTCATGGCCGCAGTCGCGGCAGCTGGTCTTGCGTTCCAGCTGGGGCACCGGCTGGTTGTTGGCCATGGCCTCCTTGATCTTGGCTTCGGCGAGCAGGTTCGGGTTCTTCCATCCCGTGCACATACACTGCACACACAAAGGGGTTAAGATTATGTTATTAATCATAAAAAAGAAAAAGAAAAAGAAACACAAACGGGGAGAGGGGGCGGATGGTAGATTGCTCGTTGGAAGGTGCCCATTAGCTCTCAGCTCTCGTACCTCAGGCATAAAGCACGGACAGTGGGGCGCAATCACTAGGTAACTCTTGGTTATCGCATGCTGCTGTTGCTGGCGTTGGAGCGCAGCTTGCTGCCCAGCGGACCACCCGTTCGGCGGTTGTCCCTGCCCCCCTTGGCCTCCACCCTGCATCATCTCGCGTTAAAAATTTCACTCGAAATCGAGAGATGCTTGATCGCCCGCCCCCTCGCGTGCGCAGAGAATAAAAATCTGTCTTTGGGCAAGATAAAATCCAGGAAAATTATTTTCTCTTTCTTTTCTGTACAGTTTCGACCGATGGTATGCATGGTATTCAGCCGAAGGCAGGACCAGTGCCGAACGAGATGATGCCAGGCGACGACGGTGGGGAGATGATGATGGGCGCCGTCGAGTTGACCCCCAGGCCCTGGATGGCCGAGGGCGGAGACGAAGACGAGGAGAGGGCCGACGACGCCGATGAAGAGGGAGACGACGACGAAGGGAACAGCGACGGAGGCGACCCGGTCACGCCCGACGTCATGTAGGTGAGTGGAGGCATGGCAGTGAGAACGGAGAATAGAGATGCTGGCTGTGGCGGTGGCGGCGGCTGGTGAGGAATGTGCGATGATGTTGACGAGGCCGGCGATGTCAGGAAAGACGTGTTGAGCTTGACCGGCAGTGGAGGCATGTTTGCGCACACCGGCTGCATCGATTGCCTGGACACCCGCGCCACCATCAGCCATGATGAACACAGTAATACACAAACACACGGCACGCATAGCGGCGAGTACCATTTGAGTATTCGGGAGATGTTGGCGGCAAACTTGCGCATGAGGCTGTAGTTGATCTTGATGCTGCCGTTGACGAGGTTCTCGCGGATGATGGTGATGATCTGCACGTTCTCCTCCAGCAGCTGGTTGGCCATGATGTCGTTCATGTTCACCACGCTCACGGCATCGCCACCGAACCCGAACGGGTTCACCAACGCCTCGGCACCGCCGCCGCCGGTCGCGGCGCTGTTGGGCATCATCGAGGGCAGGGCCGAGTGGGCCGCGGACGACGACGAAGAGGGCGAGGCCAGGGACGAGGGTTCGGTGAGCGGAGATGAGGAGGGCAGCGTGTCGTCCGCCGCCGACGACAGGTAGAGGCCCAGCATGGATGACGTCAGCGAGAGCGAGCCCGACAGCACCGCGTCCATCGTCTCATCTGCCACCGCGACCGTGTTACTGTTCCCGCTCTTCGGCGCAGCTTCTCCCTCTGGCGAATCCTGCAGGGAGGGGGAGAGAGCGGCGTTGTTGTGGGAAACAGAAGGAAACAGAGAGGATTCAAAGAAAAAGCGTGAACCGCACCGGCCGCTGCTTCTTTCTGGCCTCGACGGTGGGCGATGGCTGCACGAATTCCCGCTTCAGACCTGCTTGCTGTGCCGCCTGCTGTTCCTCGGCCGCCGCGGCCGCGGGCGACTGCCAGAAGACGCGGGCGTGCAGCTTGACGTCGTAGGCCGACCGGCCCGCCACCAGCTGGCTCAGTTTGATCCAGTCCCCGTCTGTGTTTTTGTTTGTTTCATCAAGGAACGTTTGTGTGTGTGTTGTGTGTGTGTGTGTGTGTGTGTGTGTGTGCGTGTTGTGTGCGTGCGCGTGCGCGTGTTGTGAGCTTCAATTCACGCAGCCCTTCGCACGGCAAATCGATAGACTCGAGGCGGTACCGCTCACTTCGGCAGCGGCTGACAGACCGAGCTCTTTCAGTCCCTGGGGGTGCATGCAAGGCCGAGGGGTGGAGAGTTAGAGACGGACCACGTATCGTGGAGTGATGGTGGGAAGGAGTAGCAATGGAGGACGGCGGTACGGCAACAAACTTGATGTGTTCGTCCTTGGTCCACTTCTTGAAGATGGACTCACTCACCGACTTCTTTCGCCATCCTTGTCTGCAAGCACCACGAACATGAATGTAAGTCACCGCGGCGGTGCAGCTACCCAGCTACGTGGACAGCAGTTTCGCCGTACGTTTGAAATTTGAGAGCACTTGATTCCTTCTTGAAGGCAAACAGCTCTCTTCGATTGAGCGAATGCTGTTGTTGGGACATGAGTCGAGTTAATGACGGCCCCCAATGAATTATTTATTGATATACAACAAAATAATATACTTCGAAACCGGGTGTACTTATAATAATCCAAACACATGGAAGGATTAAGCGAAACGGAGTGTACCAGCTCTTCTTCTGTAATATCGTATCGATTCTTCGATTCCTCCTCCATCTTGTTCGCGCGATTAATTCTGTCTGGCCAGCCAAGCCCAGAAAAAACCCAGATAATCAGCCCTGCGCAAAAGCTGCACAAGAGTGTTTTTTTTTTTTGGAGATGGAGCAGCAGCCACGGCAGCGGCAAGGGTGGCAAGGGCTGAGCTGGTCTGCCCGGTCAGTTGTAGTCATGCTGATCGCTACGTCCGTTGCGTTCATTTACTCCGACCGGCTCATGCCCCACGTCTACCGCCTGACCGACGCGCGTACCGTCCCTCCGCTCCGGATCGTTTTCGTCTATTTTATTGATTTAATTCTACGTCATTATTCTTTGATGTCCAACAGCTCAACGCAGCTGCGTTCAATATTTATTTATTTATATTTAGCTAAATAGAAATAATTAATTATTGCTAATGTGTGGCAGTGCGGGGTGAAGAGCCAGCGGGGGAGCCTGCGCCTTGGGTGCGAGCGTGCAGCGGCCGACGCTTCTTCCAATCCGACACCTGCGCCAACATGTGCGTGTACTCTTTCTCTCTGCTGCCCGGCACTCGGGAAGCGCTCACACACTCTCAGATGCGTGCAGCAGGCGCAGCTCTCGGTGCGCGAACCCAAGCCCGCCGAGCAGATGCAGACGCGAGTCTCTTGCCACCGGTACCTCGCGCACGCACCCGCACACACCACCGCACGCGCACGCGCACACGCACACGACTCGGATTCCAAACTCGCTGGGTGGCTGGCTGGTGCGTAGATGTCCACACGAGTGGTTCCGAGCCGACCGCAAGAAGCACACGCACACCGACCCGATCTGGTCGCGCATCCACGACCACCAGAGCGACGAGCCCTGGGGCGCGGTACTCGACGCCGGCACCGGCTCGGGCTCGCTGCGCTTCATCACCCAGCTCAACACCACCCGGTGGAGCGCCGTGACCGCGAGCCGCAATATGCACTCCACGCTCACCCAGTCGTTTGGGGCCTATATCAGGTCTGTCGTATGTGTGTGTGTGTGTGTGTGTTGTGTGTGTCGACGGGCTCGGCTGACCCTTCAATTGCTCAAGGCCGGACGACGAGCTGCTGCTGATGAACTGGGACCGGGCCGACCACCCGCTTAAGGGCCGCGTCTTTGACGTGGTGGTGCGTTAGCGACCATTAAGAGTTGCATGATCACGCCAGTTAACTGGACATGTCGTGCGTGTGCAGTTGGCCGATTACCTCTTGGGCGCCATGGACGGATTCTCGCCCTACCGACAGGACCAGGTGAACTCCTCGATGCTCCGCATATGTGCGTTGACGCTGACTTACACTATACGACACACGGCACACGGCACACGGCACACGGCACGACACACGCGTGTACATTGTCTACATTCCATTGAAGATATTCGAGTGGCTGGGCCAATACGTGGGCAAAAGGCTCTATTTCGTGGGCAAGGAGCCCATCCCGGACCTCAACCTGCCGCTCAACGGAACCAAGAGCTCCGGCGGGCAGCTCTTCCTCGACTCCGAGCGGTGCGCCCCCTCCCCCTCTCGCTTGGCCTCTTCAGCCGCACTGATGTCGTTCGCACTGCACGCACGAGAGAAGGCTCAGGGACGCCTGCCTGTTGATGGCCGGCGAGCGCCCCTACCGCGAGTATCCCTCCGAGTGGGTACTCCGCACGCTCGAACGGGCCTCGTTTATCGGTTCGTTAGCGCGACACGCACGACACGCACGACACACACGACACACGACACATGCACGACCGCACACGCACGCATGGCAGTATTTTGACGGCGATGGTGGGTGGTTTGGTGGTGCAGTGGAGGGCGTGTGGATGTTTCCGATCCGGTACGTGGGGGAGGCCATCGACGACCAGCTGCGGCTGTGCCGCAACAAGCTCCACAAGATACGCGACCCCACCCTCCGCTCGGCCACCCTGGAGGCCGTCAAGAACCTCCAGCACCGGTAGACAAGCCTTCCCCTCCCCGCACCACGGCCCAATAATCCTCATCTCACTTGTCGTGTCGTTGGTCGTGTCGTGTCGTGTGCGCGTCGTGCTCACAGGGTCGCCACGGATCCAGAGGCCAAAGCCGGCTTCTGCTTCGGCATGGACTACGTCATCGCTGCCCGACCAGCAGGGAAGTAGAATGCTATTGTTTCGATGAGTATTTATTTATTAATTTTTACACCGTTTTTTCGTCTTTCGGCTGCCTTTTATTATTCGATGACCGTGACTTTGGTCTCCTAAAGTGGTCATCACCACCACCGCCAATGACCGACCTGTTCATCTTCAATAAAAAAGACAGACAGCCATGTTGCATTCCATCTACTCCACCAACATGCACGCCCCACACACCCCTATCCGCTCCCTCACACCGAGCCATGGGTGCCGAGCGGTGTGAGGGAGCACGAGCTGTGGTGGGTCCAGGTGACCCCTACCCACCAGCACATGACATTCAACAATTGGCCACCCACTTCCCTGCCAACAACATCATCCTCCTCTCCAACTGAGCCGTCACCCTAACCACCAACAACAGCCACCCATCCTCACACCACCAGCTAATTTCAGCACCCCCATTTCATATAACACCACCTTGTATTGTGTTGAAAAAGAGGAGAAAATTTCACCTTCTTTTAGCCTTTGCCTCACCTTCTTTCACATCACTTATCCACCTTTTCCCACCTTGTGTTCCTGTCACTATAGTTATCCTTGTTGGTTGTTATTGCCTGCTGGTGGTTGTTGTCCTTGTTGGCTGTCAGTTTGTTTGCTGGTTGTTGTTGAGCTGATTGCCACCACTGGCTGTCATGTGGGTTGGGGCACCATAGCCCACCTGTCACCAAGATGCCACCTGACTTGGTGGTTAACACACCTCCATAGCAGCACAAGGTGGACATGCTTGGCAACAGTCCATCCATTCCATCCAAAGGGAAGGTAGAACTTGTGGTCATTTGAAATGAGAGGTCACAAATGACTGTGGAATTTTTGTTGTGCTAAAATTGTGTGAGATTTGACATTTTTGATTTACAGGGCAGTTTTGAAGATATGGATCTGCATGTGTGATTTTGACATGCTAGACCACTGCTGATAAGTGATATTGAGGGACTTGAGATGAAAATAATTTCATAAAAACTTGGAATTTGTGGAGTTAAAAGTGATTTTATCAGTGTGGAATGGAGTGGAATTTTAACTTCAGGAATAGTGCTCCAATTCAGCACAAATGTGAAGAATGAAGTTCAGTGCATGTGTGCAACTGACTGAATATGGTGTGAGGTTGAACATGACCTGGATGTGAGGGCAGTGTGTTGGCCACTGATTTTGGAATTGATGGAGGGTATGAAAGCATAAGCAAGGTGCAGTTTGAGGTTGTTCAGAGAAGCACTTACACAAAACAAGCAAAGTTCTTATTTTCCAGATCATGTATGCATACATGATAAACTAAGTATTGGTAGGTCAAACATGTAGTCATTGTGTATGTGTATGAAATAAAGTAAGTGTCTGGTTTTACAGTTTTTGTTGTTGTGTATGCATTGGTGCAAGTCACCCTGCATCAGCCATGGCCAACAACAAGGAACTGTTGAAGCTCCTGAAGGAGGTAACTGCCCCATTGCATACATGCTATTATCAAAGCCCATTATGCTTTGAAACTGCAGGACATTCTATCACATACACATACACAATAGAATGTTTGCTAATTTATCTCCTCCTTGCCCCACAGATCATGTGAAGATGAATGCTGCAATATCAAGTGAATGACTAAGAGCAGCTCCAGCCACCCTCATAGTGAGCAGCCACCTCCTCAGGAGGCCAAGAAGTAAGAGATGAAGGGCACTCTCCACACTGAGATGTGACAAACAGCCCCTCTGAATTGCTTGTGTAAAGAATAAAAATTGACTTTTTGTCCTAGTTAACTCCCAGCAGCTGTGATTTTTCCTTTTATGGTTTCTGTGTGCCAGCCGTTCAGGAAAGTACCGAAAAAAATGTGCGTAGTCATCGCGTACGCGTACGCAATAAAGTAAGTGTACCAAAACATGTACATGATAGAAATTGGTCATTCCAGACCTTGACTGATGGCCCAGTTACAGCATCATATCTCTCATTGTGATGGTATTTTAATCTGCCATTGCTCAAGATGCTCCCAATTTTGTCTTGCTATTCTCAAATTAAAACCTA